AAAGAATTCTGGCAATTTTTCTTTATGAAGAGATAAAATAGATTTATTTGCTAGAAAAAAATTAGATTTAGATTATTGTTTTAAAAAGGAGATTAGTTTAGTAAGAGAAAATTGCCAATCAAATGTAGTTAAAAATTCTTTCGATTTGAAACCATCTTGCTATGGTTTTGTTGACTAGCTTGGTATAACGCTCTGGTACAGGCAATTGCCTTAACCAGTAAGGCAAACCACACTTGAGCACCTTTGGATCTGTAGTTTAGATAGTTATAGAATGTTTTGTGTATTTACTTTGATCTAATAAAAATACTAGTAAAGCTACCGATACAAAAAAAAAAAAAAATATTATATCTATTAAAATTTATATCATTGTAAAAAAATATATATTAATCTATATTTTATGAAATTTTAATATAATCTGAAAAAGTTTTATTAATAGCATCTTCAATTTTTTGGTAAAATCGAAAAATACCATACAGATCATATAATAAAATGATTTATGTATACTCTACCCATAAATATCTTGTATTATTAGATATATCTCATTTTGAGTTTAATTACTTGTTTTGATTTTTGGACTGATCTGAGTCAATCAAAATTTCATGATTTTGATTGGTTAAAAGTAACAGGTGACTACTGGATAATCTCGTGATATGCACAGCTATTTGCTACTTCCCCAGTACAGGGATGTAGAATAATATCGATTTAATTTTGCAAAAATATCAATTGATATGGTTAAAAATATTGATTTATATTAATCAACCAATTATAACACAGAATACAAATAACGTGATCAAATAACAAAAGATTTTATACCCCCTGGCCAAGACTTTCCGAAGACTCAAGTTGCCAATTTATATTGCTCGGCCCAAATTATATTTAATTTTGCCCAAATTTCTCAATGTTACACTGCATTAAAATTTTTAAAAATATTGATTTCTCTATGATTTGACCAAAAAATATTGTTTTATATACGATTGATACAAATCAATATTTTTCTATGTCTCTGCCCCAGTATCTTCACCAAAAAATTACTATCACGTGATAGTATTTTCGGCGCACTCAGAGACCAGAAAATATTTAGATATCAATTTTAAAAAATTTATTTGGATAACAATAAAAATTTGTATATAATTTGGATATAAATTTTATTTATTTTTCCTTATTAAAATAGATTATATTAAGCATTCTTAATGATTTTAAACTTAAATTTTGATGATTGTCATCCAAAATATTATTATAAACTGAAAAGCTGCGTTCAACTGCACATACAGAAATAGATAACCATATGTATTTTATCACTATATTATATAAAAGTGAAAAAGATGATAAAACTTTTCTCCAAAATATATCTAAAGTATCATATTCAATTGTAACTAAATTAAGATTACAATAAATGCCCTATTCATATAAAAATGCAATAGACGGATTTTTAAATTGAAGAATATCTGTTGCATAAAAAGAAATATCTCAATTTTTAGTACATAATTAAATAAATTGGGAATTAAAAACTTGGGTAGCTTTAAAAATAGTCAAGAAGGATGTGAAAAAATATGCTTAGAGAATTTTTTAAAAGCAGATTCAAATGCATCTTGAAATACGGGAAAAAAAGAAAAAGGCTCACCATTAAGTTTTAAAATAATATCATTAATAACTTGACCAAAATCATTATTAGTTTTACCATTATTAAGAAATATTTCTAATTGTTGAATTCGAGCTTTTACAAGAGGAAATATGGGCTCATTTTCTTTTTAAAAAAATTAAGGGTATTAATAAAAAATGGAGCATAATAATGAATAAATATAAGATAAATTTCGATATGATTATTATCTTGTGTATCATTAAAAACTTTATCAATAGAATCAGAGTTGTCTATTTGCTGTTGTTCCTTAAAAAAACCTCAAACATATTCTAAATATTTATAAATGTAAAATACCATTTCAAACCAGGAGTTCTATCGTGTAGCATTTGGTAATAGTATAAAACGAAGTGTCAAATTATTAGATGAAATTTGACTATCACCTTCAGGTAAAATACCATGTTATTGTAAATATTCCATATACAGTCGACTCTCTCTATACTGAACTGCATGTTCTAGGAGATTTTGTTCAGTATAGAGTGAGTTCACTTTATATAGTTCGCTCTCTATATCAAACGGTTCGGTATATATAGCTAACCAATAAAATCGCATACACGTGATTAATAATCGCAATTTTTTTTTTATACCAGATAAGTAATGATAAGTTTTATTTTAAATATAAAAAGCATAGATCAATATGCATAATACAATATGAATTGCTAAACTAAGGTATGTACGTATAGCTACGATATACAAAATAAAAAAAAACTTATATTCTGTATTCTGAAAATAGTGATGGAGATCAACTTGTTTGAGATTTTTTACAACATTTAACTGAACCCGTTTGTACAATTTTTTTAGAATCTTTACTTCTTCTTCGACATCTCCAAACTCAGGACCTTGTTCGTATAAAAACCTTAGTGTTTTGTCTACGCAAATTTCTGCCTCTGTGTAGCTAACTTTCTCTTGTTCAATAAATTCTTTTTCTTTCTCACTTTCTTCTTTATTCTCACTTTCAATAATCTTCAAAATTCTTTCTTCAGTTAGCCCGCTTTTAACCTCATCGTCCTCAGCATAGATATATTCGTATGTGGTAAGAGAATCATCTATTGATAACCAGCCAATTAGTTCTGCAAGTTTTGATTCATCATTCATGTCACTAAGATTTTTTTTTGTTTAATAAAAATGTTTTATAATACAGCAGTAATTATTGATGTATCAAAAGTTAAAAATTAACAGTTAACATTAATAAGCATAAGCCTTTAAAAATGTAGAGGTGTGAATTTAACGCCATTACGGCATTACTTTCACATCTTTAATTCTGCTACTACTAATTACCTGTCTTGATCAAGTTCATTAAGTTCTTCAGATTCTTCGGGGTTATCATATGGAAGAATACCAGTTTTTCACCAGCAATATCTAATTGTATTTGGTGATATTATAGACCATACTTCGGATACATTAACTATGGCTTCATAAATATTGTACAAGACTATTTCATTTCCTACTCTATTTTGCATGTTATCATATGCACTAATCCTGTTTTGGACAAAAGACTTTTATAGTAGCACTTAAATGAATTGATAATTTCTGCATCGCAGGATTGGAGAATCGAGGTCATATTTGCTGGAAGAAATTCTATGCGCAAATTATTTAGTTTTGCCTTAGTTTCATCAAGAACAATATGCACTGGTGCATTATTAACTAAAAGTATAATTTTCTGATTTCTTAGTTTCATTCGATCATTAAGCTTGAGGAGAAGATCATTAAAAATATTAACTTGCATCTAGGCTTTTTTGTTTCAGTAATAGTAAACAGGAAGATTAGCATAGTTAAGATTTCGTAAGGGACGTGGTGTTTTATGAGTATGAATAAAGGCAAGTTTCATTTTTTTAGTTCTACTTGTATTTGCAGCACATAATATTGATACATGCGCCTTTTCTTTTTTATACCCTGCTAATTTTGAACGAGCCAAAGTATGGAAAGATCTCATTTGCTAGTAAAGTCCAGTTTCGTCAGCATTCCAAATATCTTCAAGGTCATAGGATTGAAGTAATTCTTGTAAAGCAAGTCAGTCATTTTTTATTTGCTCCATAGGAGGTGCACTTGCTGATTCACCTTTTTTTTTAAACTGGTGGAGCCCGTAATGTTTTTTGAAACTAGTAAGCCAACCATCAGATTGGTGAAAATCATCAATAAGAAAATGATCTGCAAAAAACTTCACCTTTGTCTTAAGAATATGACTGTCAATATCTTGACTACTATTAAGCGCATTATCTACCCAGAGACCAAGAACTTCTTCAAGTTTTGGCCACTTTGGCCCGTGAAAATTTTTTACTTCATCTTCTTCTTTAGTCGTAGTTAACCAATGTTCTTTTTCATTTAGGATATCTGTTATTGTTGACTTTCCAACCTGATATTTATTTGCAAGATCTACATTTTTAATATTTGGATTCATTTTTTTTGCTTGGCAAATATCATGTTTTTGCGTTGCAGAAAGAATTACCTGTTTTTTTGTTGACATACTGCCAAGGTAAAGTACGAATAGCCCATAATTTCCAAATATTTATACAAAATACAACGAAGAATTTCTAATAATCTAATTAATAAATTTATGAATTTATACAAATAACATTATTATCTTAATATAGTATTTATACTGTATAATTATACATACATATGCATATGAATAAGCATAGATAATGCAGCATGCAAAGCCGTTTCTAGCTAAACAACTTACGCCATATACTGGAAATAGAGTGGACACATTGTACGTATCCTTGTTTTTATTATTCAAAAAAAAAAAAAAAAATATCAGGTCGGGATTAATTACTATACTAGCTAAAAATAAGACTCGTTATACTGAATAGCATATTTCATTAGTTAACCATATGATTTCGTAGACATTTATGTCTGTGAAATCAGATATTATCCTAGGAAGGTATTAAATGTAGTGCTTTGCAGTATGTTGAATAATTTTGCTATTGAAATTTTTTGTAAACTCGCACTATTAAAATAAGGATAATCTGGTCTTAACAATAGGTGCCAAAATTCAAAAAAGAAATCCTAACAGTTGGTTTAATTTTTTTTTTTTTTTTTTTCTTTTGAATTTCGCCACCTTTCTATAATTTAATATAGTGCATA